AAAGGAGTTGGGAAGATTCCTGCGGGGGAAATGATTGATGAAAGGGTCTGATTTCCCGACAAGTCAGGGTACATTTTCGAAAACAGGGTACAGTTTTTGAGAAAAGTGGTCACGGCAGGGTATACCCTGGTCGAAAAGCGACGCACCGGGGTGAAATTGGGCGGTGACCAATCAAATGAGCGCATTTTCTGCTGTTAATGAGTGTGTACCCAGTTGTGTCGCTTTTCGACCAGGGTATACCCTGTTGTGTCGTTTTCCCTTCATATTTCTGTAGAGTATGAGACATTAAGTGAAAGTTTTCTGAGGTACATCTGCAATTGTCGGAAGGCAAAAAAAAAAAAAACTAACATACGCACAGGCACTTGTGACTTCCGTAGAATTCACCTGAAAATGCGGTACCAAACGAAACAGAAAAAAAAACAGCAACAAATAAGAAAGCGCATCGAATACGACATATCGGACTCATATCCAAGACACCACAAACACACACCATGGGCAAAACAGCGAACTCGCGAACTCCCGTACTACTACTCTCCGCGCCCTCTATTGTACTTGAGAAGGGCAGCTGGGCGGCAATGCGATCGCTGAAGCTCGACTCCAGCCTCTGGTCCATACATGCACGCAGAATAGAAAATACTCGCTCCATGAAGGCAGAGGATGGCTGAATCAGTGATGTGCGGTGTGTCCTGTGTTCCTGTGGTCTTGGTCTTCGGTATTTATTTGGTCTTTGCGTCTTTTCTGTTCTCTCTTCTTGTACAAAAGTCAAGTGGTTTAACTCAAAACGGTAATCAAGGTTGGTTTAAACAACGAATGTTTTTTATTAACACCGAATCTCCATCTCCAGATCTACAAATTGTTGTCTGATCTGTGAACTTGAAACTAAAGAGTTAAAAGACCAAGAGGCTTTGAAGGGGATAAAGAAGCTCTGTTTTGATTACAATGAGCTGTCTGAGCGTCTGAGCCACCCCTTACCCCCATCTCACTCGTGCATAATCACCGCTATGCACGATAACCCCTGTTATGCACACTTTCATGCATTAATTATAAATATGCGCGCTCCAACTTATGTTTTTGCTTATGCACGAAAAGCCCAGTTATGCACAAATATAAGCATGCATAACAGGTCAGGGCCTAGCGCGCTCTATCCTGGTGTGCTCTACAACTCCATTGCATATGGTTCGGGGTTTCTGGCGTATCCTCCCCTATACGATTAGACCGTCTGTTCGGCGCTATCAGAAAAACAAGTAGCGAATAGACTGAAACGCGGCTTTAAAATGATTTGAAGATGAGGTGGCAGGAGACGCTCCTCCTCCCACNGAAGCTCTGTTTTGATTACAATGAGCTGTCTGAGCGTCTGAGCCACCCCTTACCCCCATCTCACTCGTGCATAATCACCGCTATGCACGATAACCCCTGTTATGCACACTTTCATGCATTAATTATAAATATGCGCGCTCCAACTTATGTTTTTGCTTATGCACGAAAAGCCCAGTTATGCACAAATATAAGCATGCATAACAGGTCAGGGCCTAGCGCGCTCTATCCTGGTGTGCTCTACAACTCCATTGCATATGGTTCGGGGTTTCTGGCGTATCCTCCCCTATACGATTAGACCGTCTGTTCGGCGCTATCAGAAAAACAAGTAGCGAATAGACTGAAACGCGGCTTTAAAATGATTTGAAGATGAGGTGGCAGGAGACGCTCCTCCTCCCACAATCCACGCAACATCTTCATGAGCGATACCGGAGGCGCCAACACAGACAGCAGCGCAGCAGGCGCAGGAGGCGCCACGGGCGTGGCGGGAAGCTTTGTTTTGCCCCGGCAGTCCCCCCCCAGAAAGCTGTTGGCGGGAGTGCACACGCAAACATGATGACTCCTCCGGCGCCACCACAGCATCTCTCGCACATTCTGCCCCAGCAGCAGCAGCAGCAGTACGTAGGCATGGCTGCTGCCGCTGCGGCCGCCGCTGCTGCTGCTGCGGGTTCTCCGGCGTCAGCTCCGCCAGCGTTTTTTCCTGGATCTGCTGGATTTCCCCCAGCACGCGGATTGTCCATCCCTCATCAGGTGGCCCAGGCGCACATGCTTGCAGGGTGGACCACACCGCCCCCGTCTCCGCAATGGCCGGGGCCGGGAAACCTGCCGGCGCCCGCGCCAGGGCCAGAATTGCTCCCGGCGCTTGCGGCAGGGCAGGAATCGCCGACGGCGCTCGCGCCAGGGTCGGGATCGCCGCCAGCCTTCCCGCCAGGGCCGGGATCGCTGCCGGCCCTCGCGCCAGGGCCAGGATCGTCCGTGCAACTCCTACCTTCGCCCCCAACATTACCGCCCAAGCCCATCCGGGAGGAGCAGCCGGACAATGCCGACTGGTTGCTCCCGGCATGTCAAAACGGAGACGAAGAAGCGTGCGGAGGCAACGAGCCACAAGGGAGTCTTTCGGTACGGTGATGGGGTCCAACGAGGTCAACACGTCGATTTCGAGCGTGAAGAAGCCAGAAGCTGTAAAGCTGCTCCTGGCCCAGGACGCGTGGCGTGTATCCAAAGGTGTCGACCCTGATTGAAAGCAAGCTCCGCAGGGCACCCCTCAAGCGAAGAGGGTGGCGAAGGAAGCGAAGGCGAAGCTTGCTGCCGAGGAGGAAGAGCGCAAGAGGAGATGCCGTTCCAGCGGGGATGCGGCAAGGTTATGCTTCATCGTGTTCTCGGACGAGATGTACGAGAAGGTCCTCACCAGCGAACAGGCGCCCACGGATCGAAACAAACGCGACAACCATGCCATTGGGGTGAACGATCCAGGTGGGGTTTGGGATGAGATTGTTGACCACTTCGTAAACGAAAATTTGAGGCTCGGTGGGGTGCGCGCTGGCAACCCAAATCACACGACGGCAGCACTGCACCCGGAGTGCCCAAGATGTGGGAGGCGCTTCAATCGCTCGACTATGACGATCCAGAGAAGAAGTGATTTTTTGTGATTTCGTTAGTATGTCGCACATTTGAGACATACACGTTGTGCTGCTGGTTCGCTTATTTCACATGTAAAGGGCAGTTGCCCGGGGAGTTGCGGCTGTTTCTTTCTCCATTCCCCCGTGGAACGCAGCTATTGTTTGACTTGCTTTGAAAATGGGCCTTGCAGGTTAACAGTAGGAATGCCAGCTGCCAGTTCTTAAGTTTTGCCACTTGTGTTATCAATTGCGGGGGCGCTGGTTTCTTGGCTTATGGTGCAGTGCCTTATGTGAGTTCGTCGTTCAAATGTCTCGCTGTTGTTTTCAGGTGGAGGGAAGAATGGACGTCCAAGGATGGGTTGCGGAAGGGAGAGCTGGACAAGGCCCGCGCCCGCGAGAAGGTTAAAGGCTGGTAGACGGACATGCGTGCGGAGTTCAGGGTGAGTTTCGGATAACGGTCCACGGAGGGTGGATTTGTTATTTTCCGATTCCCTTTAGAGCTACTTGCGCAAGAAACCCACCTCCGTGTTTCAATAGGCATTTTGTTGGTAGCCGCCTTCGTTGGGGACGCATTGGATCTTTCCTGCGGTTCAAGTTGGATTCAAGAAACCCGCCACGTCCAGACGACCGTCTACCCTCCTGTGTCCCATCCCCTGGTCCGTTTGTTTTTTTCGGGTGCGGGGGGCGGGTTCAACAATCCTGCATGCCGGGTGCTGTTGCTACAGAACGAAAGCCCACCTCCCGTCTCGTTATTTTTTTTATTATTTTTTCTGCAGTAGTGGTAGTTGGTCGACAAACCGCCCCCGTCCAGACGACCGTCTGCCCTACTCTTCCCCATGCCCTGGTCTGGTTTATTTTTCGGGCGCAGGGGGCGGGTTCAACATGCGTATTTGTCCGGTGCTGTTACAGAACGAAACCCTACTCCCCCTCTTGTTGTTTTCCCCTTTTGTTTTGTCTGCAGTGAGTGGTAGTTGGTGGACAAACCGGCTCCGTCCAGACGACCGTCTGCCCTCCTCTGCTCCGTCCTCTGGTCGTGAACGGGTTCAACGGGCATATGTGCCGGGTGCTGTTTCAGTCCAGTAGCACACGACCCCTCCAGATATTTTTTTTGTTTTTTCGGTCTGACGTACGCGGCGGTGCAGTACTTGTTCGAAGTATTCGCCCCGCCCAGACGACAGTCTCCCATCGTGTGCTCCTTCTTGGTTTGTATTGACGTCGGGTGCGGGCACACGTGTCGCGTGCTTGTTTCATCGGTACCTATCTGACATAGTCCCGTACGTTGTGTGCTGGGTAACGTTCTTAATGTAGGCGTCCCTCATCGCTGGTGGTGTCTAGAACGCGTTTGATGTCCGTTGGGGAAAGTTAGGACGGTCAGAAATATATTTTCCCGAACCCCAACTCCTTACATATTTTGTAACCCCCCTTTTCATGCCAACTCATGGATATATACCGTGCGTGTTTTCCAGATCGCCAAGAGTGGGAACAACGCTGACCACTTCTGGTCCTTCTGTAACCAGAAGCTGTACGTCCTGCTCATGATGGACTGGTACGAGCTGAGGGGAGGCGACAGCGCGAACGAGCACCGCGTAAGGTACTTCAGCGTGAGGCTCAGCGAAGAGGATGGGGAAGCTTTCAGCACTCTGTCCATGGAAGACGAGCAGTCGTCCAGCGATTCGGATGAACCGCCCGCTCCAAAGGGGAAGCCGTGAGATCCGAAGGCGAGGGAGAAGGGGAAGGAAAACCCGGAAGAAGCCTTGGTGTGGATGCATGACCACATCAAACAGCGTGGCAGCGGCGATGTACAAGATTGCGGACAACCACACCGGGAATCCCGTGGATATGTTGATTGCTGCCAGCGATCGCGTTGATGATTTAGAAGAGAAGTTGTAAAATGCGAAAGAAGCAGAGCGCCCAAAAGGAACATTGAAAGGGTCACTCAAAACCTCGCAGTAGCGCGGGAGGCGTACGATAATATCTACAACAGGCCAGGCCTGCTGCACAGAAAGCGGCGGAAGAAGAGGAAGAACAAGAGGAAGAGAGTGAGGTTTCGTAGCGAGTTCTCGTAATCGCCCTTCGGACGAACCAAACCCGACTTCTTCCAACGACGCATGAAGAGGATGGCTTGTCGTTTTGGGTTTGATTCACACGGCATAGGTTAGGTACATGCATTTTTTTAGAATGGCTAGTTTTTTTTTCGTTGTGTGCAGTACGAAGGTAGGGCACTGCTCGTATGTCCTTTGAGTTACTGTTGTTGTTGTTTCTCACATTAGCTCTATAGTCCACAAAAATGGGGAGCCCGTGGTCTCAAAACCCGGCACATACGACGCCGCGGGAAAACAAAACAACAATAGGGTACACACCACTCGGGAAAAGAAAACAAAATGAGAAATGACAGGTACCGCACCGACCGTTCGAGAAAAGAGCCCTCGGAAACCGATCAAACATACAGGAACAGAAATAAAGGAGGGCGCTTCCCACACCCGCCTAAAGAAAAATCAAAGGGTAACGTACCAGCACCAGGCACTACGCACCAGGGCATGGGAGTAACGGAGCAAACAGGACAAAGAGGTGGCAGATGGGCAGACAGCCAGGTGTACAAAAAACAAAAGCAACAGCAAAAGCGAGATCAAGGTACCTAACGCAGCAGAGTAGGCAGGGAGGACATCAACAAAAAAGAAACACAGCACAAAGGCCGAAGGCAATACAAAGGACATACACAAAGGAGTTTTGCATACAGCAGGGAGGGAAACAGGGCGCAACAACATCAGCCGGGTACATTGTTCGCCACAAGTGCTGCCTCGGCCGCCCTACTCGCTTCTACAGTAGTGCCCGGTCGCCGTTTCTTCCCCCCCACCGCCGCGTCCCCGACTCTCTTTCTCTTCGGTCCTGAAATGGCCGTACTCTCTGCTTCTGCTTCCCTCGCGCGCTGGCGCTTCGCGGACTCTTCCGCGTCCTGCCTGTGCCATTTCCTCGTGAGCCATGCCGCCCCGTCCTCGACCTTGTTGTACCACACCTCCGGGTCCTTGGCGCTCTCGTTCCATTTCCCCCCTTCGTTTTCGGCTCCCATGTTGAAGGCCACGAGGTCCTCTCCTAGATAGACGAGACACTCAGTCGCTCTCTTGCCCGCCCCGGTATCCCACGCCCCCCGCCATCGCTCCTAACAGCATGCGCTTGGGGAGGCGGTTGTCCTCCATGCGCTTAACAAAGCCCGCGAAACACAGTCTCCGTTTGCGCACGGTGGCCTCGATGGTTTCCTCTCAGCCTGGGCATAGGACAGGGGGCGGTCTGAGCGTTTTCACTTGCTCCAGCCGATGCACCGTGTAAGGAACTGGCGGTGGGTCCCATTGAGTTTCGTGTAGTGCTCCGCTGTTAGGCTCCACGAGGCGCGCCCATATAGGAGAGTCTCCACCACTTCAGCCTGGAGTAGCCGGATCTTGAGCTGGCGGTCGGCCCGTCGCCTGTCGTACATCGAAGCACTGTTCCGGCGGTAGCACTTCCACTCTCGGCAGCTGCGGCTCGTGATCTCCTGGTCGGCGCTCCCGTACGCGGAGATGGTACGTCCGAGGTACACAAACCGATCTGTCTGCTTGTACGTCTGGTGGCGGCGCTGACCGTGAACGGGCGTTCCTCGATCCCTTTCGGCAGCATGCACATGATCTCCGTCTTTGGCTCCGATACCATCAGTCCGAACAGGCCGACCACGCGCACGATGACCGACATCATCTTCTCGAGACTCTCGGACGAGCGCGAGACGATGGCCGCGTCGTCAGCGTAGGACATGGCCCACAAGGCCTCCGCGTCCATCACCACCGTCGTCTTCTTCCACGTCGACCTGCCCTTCTTGCCCGTGTACTCCACTTGTGCCCCGATCTGGACCATGTCCGCCGTCACCTTGGGGTCCTTGTCGAACTCGACCACGGCGACCATGAGCATCGCGGCAAATAACAAGTTGAACAGCAGCGGGGCCAGGTTGCAGTGTGGAGGGCGCATTGCGTGATCCACCCCTCCAGCATGTCTTTCTTTCAGTTTCCGTGGGGGAACATGAGAAGTTTGTTGTTCAGTGACGGACCAGAGTCTTCTTTATAGGGGGTTTATGTGCAGGCGTACGCGTTTTTGGCTGCCGGAGAGCTGAGCCCAGAGGCCAGAGACATTGGTTCGGAGGGTAATTCACTTTTGTCACTTAGCTTCGAAAAGACTACCTAATGGGAACAATTTGTTTTTTTGTCGTGGTGAATATTCATCATATGAAGGTTGAGTACGCTCAACAACGTGGCTCTCTCGGCCTCTGTGAGGTTTTTGTCGTCTCTCAATGTATCTCCCTTGTCCAAACATCCATACCCTGTGGGGCACACTCGACCAAATGGGAAGAAATATATATAAATGAAGACAGGGAACATGCCACCGCAGAAAAATAGGGCAGAGAAACTAGGCACTACGCCAGACAGCGAAGTCGCGCAAAAAGCAGCTCGGGTAATCTCATATCTGCCTCATGGAAGAAAATGACAATCGAACTTTTTGTCTAAATCATAAATGAAGAGTGCCCTTTCGACACTCGCTTCAAATTTTTCATGAGTCTACACCGCGGAAACTTCTACGCTTATCTCCCGTGTCCCGTGTTAGGTACCCAATAATAATCTGTCGGGTTGTAGCGGACAGTCATCAGTCTCTCTCTCTGCTTGACAACTTCAATACCACCACAATAAAAGCCCATCCGATCCATCCTGAACATATTTTTTTCTGTTATCGATACCCTCCACGGAACATTCCCCCAACGTCCAACCCGCACCTTGCCGTATGACACGTTGTATCGACAAACGGAGCATCTTGCCAATGCCTTAGCCAACTACCTACTTTGATCTACGGACAAACGATGCTCCCACGAAAATTACTCCAATCCTGTGATCCAGCTCCCAGAAAAGCACCCACCTTGTGCGCCTAGACCGATTCCCCTCCCCCCCCCCCCCCCCCCCCCCCCCCCCCCCCCCCCCCCCCCCCCCCCCCCCCCCCCCCCCCCCCCCCCCCCCCCCCCCCCCCCCCCCCCCCC